AATTCTTTTTACTCAATTAAAATATATAATATTATATTCATATATTTACTTAATAATATATAAAAATCATATAAAACAATCGTATAATCACTTAGTAAACCTTGTTGTTGGTGTAACTTTTCCCTTTTAATTTATTAAATTCTATATTGTTTTTTTTTTATCTTCTATGACTCGAAAATGAAATGAACAACTAATTTGCCATCAATTATATAATATTTTTTTAAAAATTGGTATATTTAATAATTTAACATGTTTTTTTGATATTTATTCGATTCAGTTATTAAAATATAATATAAATATAATTAATTTAGTCATTTTCTACATACTGTATACATGATTATATTTTTAAATTTATCTATTTAATTTTATAATAAAATTTATTATTTTTTAATAAGTATATTTTGTATTGTGTTAAATTGAAGGATATACAGATTAACATCAAATGTTTTAATAGAGTTATATATATGCCACAAATGTAGGATTTAATTCCGATCCGTCTATCTAAAAAATATAAAACTGATTAAGAGATAACTTTTTATATAACTTTTATATAGAATTTTATATATCATTTAATAATTAGTTTTTTTCACTTAGTTAGAACATATAATGTTGTATGTATTAGTCTATTTAATAATATATAAAAATTATATAAAAAAAATTATCTAGGAACCATATCATTACTACTAAAAAAATATGAGCAGTGATCTATAGATAGGAAATGAGGGACAAAAATTTAAAACCAATTACTTGACATAAGTTAGGTCATTAAATAAATTAATATATATAATATTATAAATTTTAATAAAATAAAAAAATTAATTATTAAAAAATATAAAATTTATTTTTTAATATTTTAAATGATGTGACTTATATTACATATTGCTCCTAACACCAAAATTTTAATCACGTTTGTTACTATTAAAAAGAAAGAAAACAAGGCTTAGGTGAGAGTGGCTTGTTTTCAATTTACAAAATTTTAGTATCATCTAACAAAATGTGAGTTTGAATTTATGTTCAAAATAAAAATTTTTCTTGTTTCAGAAGAGTCAAGTAAAGAATCCTTTTTCTACCAAAAAAACGAAAAAAAGTAAAGAATCATTTTCTACTTTTAAATAATCTATTTCGAGTGGGCCCGAATTCAAATTGTGTGGCATTGTTGACTTTTGGGTTGCTGCTTATTCAATGTGTAGGGTTTTGGGAAATGATTTGCGGAGGTCATTTTTACAACTTTTGTTTATAATTTTGTAATAATTAAACATGTCAATATAATATAATATTATGCATTTTGATAAAATAAAAGTCAATAATCCAATGTTATAGAAAATTATATAAAAAAAATTATATATTATAATTATGTGTTAAAATCCTAATTATTTTTCTTAGGAATTTTTTGTTTTTTATGAGCTTTGCATAGATTTATGTTTGATTTTGAGTTTGTGTTACTTTATTTATGAGAAAATAAGAGAAGGGAAAAAAAATGGAAACAAATTTATATAAAATAAAAATAAAGTGATATTTGATCTTAGTATTGATTTCAATGAATGTAGATTGAAAGTTTTTAATAGTCTTTAATTTTAAATGCTGTATAATGCAGTTGGAGATTTTAAATAGTTAGGCTAAGGGATTAGGTTAATGGTCCTGGCAGAGGTGCTATGGTACTTTTTTTTTTTTTTTCGAAATTGTGAGAATGTGGGTGAGATCTCGATGATTACTTTTTTTTATTTCCTTCCTCACTTAACTTGCATGTTATATGATTATTTTTAAGTTTTTAATAGTCTTTAATTTTAAATGCTGTAATGCAGTTACAGATTTTAAATAGTTAGGCTAAGGGATTAGGTTAATGGTCCTTACGGAGGTGCTAGTACTTTTTTTTTTTTTCACAAAATTATGAGAATGTGGGTGAGATCTTGATGATTACTCTTTTTCACCTCTTTTTTCACTTGACTTGTATTTATATGATTATTTTTTAGTTTTTGTTTTCAGTGAAAAAAATTTTTATTGAATTATTTAAGTTGTTGACAAAAAAGAAGAGTAAAAATTAAAAAAGCACTTGTTATGAAATAAAGAATTCAAGGATGTAAATGTTAATTTAAAAGTTTAAAGGATGGAATTCGATTCTTTTCAAAAGTATAGGGGTCCTAACTCCACATGACACATTATTGGTTTCTATATATAGTGCTCGTATCAGCGAAACTAAATCAACACAATTTAGACCTAGCCATTAAGAGCGAAAATGGATATGATCAAAGTCCAAATCATCTCCACCGAAACCATCAAACCTTCCCCTTCGGCTCTACCCCATCTAAAAACTTTCAATCTCTCTCGTTTTGATCAGTTAGCTCCTCCAGTTTACGTACCAATTCTTCTTTTTTACTCTCCTACTGATGATCTCAAAAATCATAGGACAAGATGGTCGGATCACCTCAAGAAATCACTCTCAAAAACATTAGCCCACTTCTATCCATTTGCCGGACAGATCAACAAGGATGATGCCTTCACAATTGACTGCAACGATCGTGGTGCCACCTACGTTGAAGCTCAAGTAGAAGCTGAGATGTCTGATGTGGTTCTTAATGGACCAGAGATTGATATGCTACAAAGGTTACTTCCTTGTGATCCACTTGAAAAGTTTGCTGATCCCAGTAGTCGGGTAATCCTAGCAGTTCAGGTTAATTACTTTGCTTGTGGTGGCATGGCCATTGGTGTATGCATTAGTCATGCAATTGCAGATGCGTCATCTACAGCGAGCTTTGTTAAAAGCTGGGCAGCAACTGCTTCTGGAGTAAATGGTATTGACGTTAATGGTGTGATTTACGATTGCACCTCTCTCTTCCCTCCGATAGATTCAACAGAGTTACAACAGCTCATGGAAAAAAGAATGAAAATGCGACAAGCCAATCCTGTAATGAAAAGGTTTTTGTTTGATGGTTCGAAGATAGCTGCTTTAAGAAACAAAATCAGCATGGAGGCGAAAGAATGTTTTTACCGTCCCACACGCGTGGAGGCTGTCTCCGCGCTCATATGGGGCGCTGTGATGGCTATGGAGAAGACTGGAAATATTCCAATGCATGTGGCAGTATTTCCAGTGAACCTAAGGAAGATAATGAATCCGGTGTTACCTGAATTGTGCATTGGAAACATCTACCAACTTACCATGGCAACTTCGATGATGGAGAAGAACATAAAACACAGCAGTCTAGCTGGAAAAATTCACGAGTCAATAAAAAGGATGAAAGAGGAGTATGTGAGGAAGCGTTGTGAATACTTAAACATGATGATCAGAAAAAGTAATGCCGATGAATCAAAGAATGGTTTGGAAGCAATGGTGTC